CCCCTCCCTTGATTATCTATTTCTGTCCTTTTATTTCTTCCAAATAGATATTGTTATATTGAAAGATACAATTCACTCTTTTAGATGCTCGTGATATTGTGATACTAGGTTTTGGACATTGCTACACAGTTGTGGTTGTGTTTAGATCCTGTCTCGGATATTCGTATCTTTATATCAATTTTGAGACTAGTTTTGCTTTTATGTTTTATCACCACTCTATTATTAACTTAATAAATCGGCTTATGTTATTGATATTGTGTGTTGGCTTGGCTAGCAAACAAGTTAGGCGCCATCGCGATCTTTGGTGGGATTTTGGATTGTAATCCATGTATGTAATTACTTTTATTCCATTCTATCTATCGTTTCTACTTGGATCGTTATAGTTCATTAGAAGCATAAATTTAAGAATCAAATCTTATATATCAAAATACTTTTGAGTTGACGTGATTACTTTTTATGCCCGCTAGCTTCCTTTATATCTGCGCAACCTCAGGACTCCGCAACCTGTGTCTTGTCAATCTAACCTTGGCCTTAATACACTCTTCTAGAGTTGTAAATGAGCCAACAGCAAGGGATCGACGAATTTGAACAAAACAGAATTGTAATTCCTTCTCAAGCAAGAGAGTAGTGAATAAATATGTTAATATATAGAGAGTAAAAGATGAGAAAAGAGCAGAAAAATGTCAGAAGTGGGATTTGAACCCACGCCCTCTCACGAGGACCAGAACTTGAGTCTGGCGCCTTAGACCACTCGGCCATCCTGACATTGCATGACAATAATTTGAATTTTCCAATTTAGTACACAATTGTATTGAAGGTAACTCTTATTTAAGTAGTTTGGTTAAAGCGAAAAGTGGAGATAATTCAAGCTATTGTGCTTATGAAACTCAATATTGTAGTATATGATTTTGGAAATAAAGAATGTCACATTGTAGGCTGGATTCTTAAAACCTGCCTCCATTCAAAATGATTCTGAAGTAATATCTTAACTTATTATCCATTCCGTGGAAAACAAAAAGCCACACGTCCACATTATCACAATTCACAATGCTCCTTAGTTTCTTTTTGGGGGGGTGGGGGTGGGGGGTCTTGACTGGATTAAACGTGTATTATCGAGTTAGAAGGAAATTATATCCTGTTAACGTAGTCAGAATCAAGGAAAGTATATAACTAGTCCTAAGAATCAGAGACAGAGACTGCTAGGTGAAGCATGCAAAAAAGCATAGATATATTAAATGGTTTACATAGACCTGTGTCCAAAATGGTGCACTAGCAGATAAACGGAAAATATAATCACCAAGCTGATGAACTCACTGCATTGTGCAAGTGGCTAGTGGCGGGTCTAATCATGTGTTTTCGGGTTCTGCAGACGTTGATTCAGGGTCGAACCTTGTGTATGTGTGTGAAAAACAAGTATATTGAATTAATTAGATATACATTTCAAACTCACTCTATCAACTCAGATTGCACAATGTCTAGATCTTGGATACATCACTGCACGTGTCGAGTTATTATATAGTTGTATATACCATCCCTATTTAGGTTTTCTTAAACCAGAAGTTGAATGCTGAACAGGTCAAACAGAAAGATTCATCTCTGTAAAGGGATTAACTCCGATTGTCCTTGCACAATCATGTAGTAAAGGTCATCAAATTGGTCAAATAATAATGTGTCAACAAATATGGCTAGGAACCAATAGGTGTACAAATTTAATATCCACAAAATCTCCTTTTTCCATCTTTTATGAAATCGTCTTCTTTTATTTGTTTACACTCAATTTTTCTTGTTATTAGTGTGAAATATTGGCCCTCCAAATGAGACAGCATTAATGGATCCACGCTGTTAGCATCTTAACTGACATTGTAGTAACAACACAATCACATAATGCTTGATACGAAGGAAAAAAATGACCTGTACCTCTATGACTCTGGATTAAAGTAATTTATATCTATATATTTATTAAAGGAATAAAGTTTGCATTGTAGTTAAGCCAAGTGGCAAACTATTATAAAGTCACTTTGAAATTTAGGACAATATGTATAATAACATTTAATTAAAATTTAAAGGTAAGATTTTCTTTTTTGAAATCTATATATCTATTAAAGGAATAAAGTTTGCATTGTAGTTAAGCCAAGTGGCAAGCTATTATAAAGTCACTTGGAAATTTAGGACAATATGTATAATAACATTTAATTAAAATTGAAAGGTAAGATTTTTTTTTTTGAAATTTAAATGGGAAGATAGTAAATAAGATTTTTCTAAAGATACAGCCTACTTGCCCTATCTTAACTAATAATTTTTTTTAATAAAAATTGAGTTTAAAGATAAAAATAATACCCCTATTTTAATTAACTTTAAAGATAAAGATGTAAGTATTACCAACACATATTATTGTTGCTCCTAATAATAATAATCTATATATCTATTAAAGGAATAAAGTTTGCATTGTGATTAAATCAAGTGGCAAGCTATTATAAAGTTACTTGGAAATTTAGGACAATATGTATAATAACATTTAATTAAAATTGAAAGGTAAGATTTTTATTTATTTTTTTGAAATTTAAATGGGAAGATAGTAAATAAGATTTTTCTAAAGATACAGCCTACTTGCCCTATCTTAACTAATAAATTTTTTTTAATAAAAATTGAGTTTAAAGATAAAAATAATACCCCTATTTTAATTAACTTTAAAGATAAAGATGTAAGTATTATCAACACGTATTATTGTTGCTCCTAATAATATCTTCTATTATTTTCTTAAACCAAATCAACTCAATTCTTTTCCAAGATTTTGAATTGAAAAACAAACAAATCAAATTTTATCCAAGCTTTTGAATAGGAAAGGAAAACTCCAAGGACGAAAAAAATACCTCGAGATTTTGGTGAAGTACAAGAAAATATGAGCGGATGCTCTTTTTTTGGTCTATTATTGGATTAAACACTAAATAAAATATATAAAATCTTTTAGTAAGAAAATTAATTAAAAAAGGATAGGGTATAGATAGTGTGAGAGAATAAAATTTGACATAAATTAAAAATAAAATAAAGATAATAAATAAATAATACTGAATAATATTATTAATAAATTTAAATATTAATCTAAGCAGTAAAATAAAAGAATGAAAGTACATTAAAAATTATTATAATTAAAATAAAATTTAAATTCATCTATAATATAATAATGGGAGTAGCGGACAAGGATATAAACTATTGTAAATTATGAGTAACGCAATAACATGGACAAAGAATTAAAAAGGAGAAGTATTAATGGAGCAATACTAACCTTTGAGTGGGTTGAGGGGGAAACTCACTTTTCGGGACAAGTATAGGGAGCGAAGTTATGTATTTTCCCTATTAAGTATGAAGTTGTTCAAACATCACCTGAATTAAATGTCAATTGTGTTACCTTAGGATGAAACTAATTATCCAAAATTTTATAGTTTTTCTTATATCTAAGTTGTTTTAAAGCTATATGTAGATTTTTCAGTTTTTTCTATCAATTCTAGCAGTTGCTATAGATAGGAATGGGGAGTATGCATTTTTCTCTGATAGCTCAAGTATAGACTGTGACTTTTTAGTCCGTTATTGATATTTGTGTTCTTATAAATTATTTCAACCAATTGATTGAGCAGTTATTCGGGTCGGTATGTATGTATAAATTAGAATGAAATACATTTGATCAGAGTGAACATATAGAGAAATATAATTGCACTTTTTGAGATTGCTAGTTACACAAGGTACAGTGAATCACAAAAATTAAAATAAGTTAAGTTAATTAAGAATTACCAGTCAAGCTGTAGGGCATCATCTTCTTATAGGATATATGCATGGTAGAATAGACAAATCGAAAGTAAGTTAAAAGTTTATTTAATTGAAAAAATATTGATTCTTACAAAATAAATTGCTAAATAATATTAAGATCCATCAAGTTGAAGAGTTTTATCGAATATTCTTACTTACAAAATAATGATGTGAACAGCTCTATGTCCCAAAGGTGTCATTTAAATTACGGCAAAGGGTCAAATATATCATTCTACTTTCGAAAATGGTCTAAGAATACTTATCATTATACTATTAGGTTATCTGTACCCCTGCAGTCATACTTTGGGTTCAAATATACCCCTCATTTAAACGGAGGGACNTGGGGTATTCTTAAACCATTTTCGAAAGTAGAGAGATATATTTGACCCTTTACCGTTTAAATTATTAAAAGCAATCTAACATTAATTGTGTGGTTAAAATTGAAGTAGAATCAAAATTGTTGAGCAAACTCTGATCTAATTGTTCAATATATTGATAAATCCCAAAAGTGAGAATATATCGGTTATCAATAAATCGTCAAGTATGTACATATTACTTTGTTTTTCAACATTAAAATAGTGAATATAATAAATTTTGTAAGTTTAGGTTGATATAAGTTGATGTTGTAAGAGATACTTATGTTGAGATAATAATATAATATATTTATATAATTTAATTTAGATATTATTAAATTTATATTTATTAATTATTATTTTATGCAATATTATTTGTTTTTGAATCATATTCAATTTTTGTTTATTGTATCATCGGCTATATGTGGAGTTCTAATATTTGAACTTCTACCAATAATTCATATGATTTTTTAAGTATGAAGTTTAGTAGGATCACAATATTATCCGCAAATCGTGCTGTACAAATACTAGTTCTAAATGATTAGAGCCTTTGTTCCCCAAATGATAGCATTTAAAAGATTCCAATTTCATGTCTTAAATGAAATGAGGATAGATAGTATAGTAGAAAGAAAGATTCATCTATTTCTTTCTACCATACTACTTATTAGTTTTGTAGTTACCATATTCAAAGGGATACTCACATGCATACATTACCAGTTTACAACCACATGCTCATATTTTGTCGTCCTATTCCTACTTGGTTATATAGTGGCCTTTCTTGGGGCATATTGTTCATCACCAATTCTGAGTTTTTCTCTCAATAAAGGAAAAGAACAATCACTATGGATGCTTCAAAATCTGATAATCACATTCGTTCAATCAGTTCGTCATCAAGTTTCACATTCAAGCACTCTAAGAGTGGAAGAGGAGCTCAACAAGCTCAAAACATTGGAAACAGCAGTTGCACCAACTGCTGAGACAATTTGCAATAGCCTACTTGGTTTGAAGGAATTATACAAGTACATAAATGATCTCAACTTGCATCTAACCTTTCAAGCCCTCTCTCACTGTAAACATGAGAAATTGGTCGAAGATTTATTGGACAAGTCGGTGAGGCTACTAGATGTTTGTTACACCACAAAGGAACCTGTCTCCCAGTGTAAAGAAAACGTAAGAGATCTACAATCCTATCTCAGAATGAGAAAAGGAGATTTGAGTACAGAATCCGGCACTGCAGATTCACTTCTTTCAGCAAGAAGATGAAGAAGCATGTCAAAACATTAGTCTCTGCTTTGAAGTAAAAGAATCAGGAGATTGTAATATCAGTTGTTCTGGATGAAAATCAGGACACCACAGCTGGGATCAAAGCCATAACGGAAGCCAATGCAGTGTGCAGTTTGATTTTTCAAATGCTTTTGCAGTTCTGGTCTTTGCCACTTTTGAAGCCCAAGCCATCTAAATGGTCATTGGTTTCAAGATTGGTGTCCAAGGGAAAAATAGCACGTGTCACGTGAAGGCCAAGAAGAAAGCACAAACATAGAAACCAGGCTCGAAACTTTTGAGGCTCAACTTGACAGCTTCAAAAACAGACTGGGAGGGGCATTTAGGTGCAGGATTAGATCAAGGAGCTCTCTTAAATATTCTCTCCTGCTAATTTGGAGTTCTACTCCATAAAAAAATATAGTTGACCTCGTATTGTACATACACAATATTGTAGCTTTTGTAGGAAATACAAGAATTATACTCAAAATTATCATCTCTTACTCTCTTTTTCTATCCATCGAACTATGTGTCCATATGGTGCTCTATGAGTTCTTCATTCTATGTCAAATCTTGCTATGGAGATGGCTAATTTGCTTCGGAAAGCTAAGTTGCTCGGACTCGGTGCGGGTATCCGATCAAGGTGCAGATCCAGAGTTCAGATCCTTTATAATCTAAATTTTAAGATTCGGGAATAAGGGATCCAGGTGTCGGGATTTCGGCAAAAAATAATTCTAAAAATAGATATATAAAAATATATTCAAGAGGAAAAGCTGAAAAGGAGACAAAAGGAGTAGAATTTGCTACCTCGCAGCAGTAGAATATTGAAGGCATGCCATTTCTCATGGCTTCAAACCTGTACTGGCTTTTATCTTGAGAAATCAAAATTCAGTTTTTCCTCAAATTTGTCGATGGATTGTGGTCAAAGTAGTCGATTTCGATTGACCACACCCTGTACAAATCCCACACCCTTACATGTACTAGTGTTGTGCCGACACGGGTGCGGCGCCTAAAATGAAGAGTCCGCGCAACATAGTCGGAAAGTCAAACCACAGGAAACAATGTGAAAAATACTAAGGAAACAATGTTAAAAGCTATATGTAGGAAACATTAAGAGAGTTAAAAAAAAATTCTGTTTACTGATCCACTAGAGCTTCTTAATTTTTTGTGTTTATCCAGGATTTAGTGAAACTCTACATTCTCCAGTTTCACAATTCACCCAACAATTCACCTAGTATCTACCTTTATAAGTGTCACCTTTGAGAAAAAGCTTCAATGGACATCCACAAGCATGCTAAAACTTATGGTGAGCTGCTAGATAAACAAGGGTAGTTAATCATTACTTTATACCATGCCAACTGAAACTGCAAAAAAAAGATGGTAGAGTAAACATAAGCACAATATTGAAATACATCGTGTGATAGGAAGAGTTGAAACTAAAAAGCTCAAAATATGATTAGCATAAAGAAAGAAACCGCAACAACACCTGCAATATCAGACCTCAAATCTCTAGAGTCCACTTAACTACCCTCCACAGATTCTAGGCTTTCGACATAATTTATGACTTTAAACCCACCCACTGAACTTCTCCTTTGAAAGCTCTGAGCTCTTTTAGTAAAAGGATTGTACGATAACAATTCATGTGACAACCCATTTGGGTAGCCAAAAAGAATTTCGCTGTCCCTCCATGATCCAACAGGTCGTGCTAGCTTAGAGAAGAGTGAAAAATCAACTCGCTTAGTCCAAGATACACCTTGTTGTTCATTCATCATCCATACCTCGTAATGGTCAACATTTAAACCATTCTCAGAATAGATTATCATAGAAAGACAACCATTCAGTACCACAAGCTTCTTGACAGTAAAGTCAGTAATAGATTCTGAATTGGGGACCATAATTTGTCCAAAGACTTGTTTATACAAATCAAAAGAAGTAACAATATCCCGTCCGTTATCACTATTATTATATGACATCCAATACAAGCACCCATTAAGGTTAACTGCAGACCCACCCTTGGGCAGCAGATTAACAGCTCCCATCTCTTCCCAAGAATCTGAACTCAGGGTGTAAACCCAAACCTTAGCATCAATATTGTGTTTCCTACTGGATGATGGAACCTTGACAACCTTAAAATCGTCAGTCTCGGGGACAAAACCAAGCATTATATAAGGGAAGAAAGGATCACAATAAAAGGATACAGAATTATCGGGGGATTCAAGGAATCTATACTTACTAGTAGCAGGGTTCCACAAGATAATGTTGGAAGTCCTATTAAAATGAACACACAACAAGCCATTGCAAGAACCCACAATCCGAACCTCATCATCTGGACTAGACGGAAACGGCAAATCAACAACAGAAGATGGATACAGATCATTATTATTTTTATAAACATCAACCCCGTCGTCAATATCATCATCAGCATTAACAGTAACAGTACGATCAACGGAGAAGAAGGAAATAGTAGGGGTGTCTCTAGGACCCCGATCGCTCACTCTGAGGAGCTTTTCATGGAGGGGTTGTTGACCGTGACGGAGATGCATTTGAATAAAATCAGGGCTACTTAGGAAACCATACCATGATTTGGAAACCGCTCGGAATCGCAGCAATGACTTGACGGGAAGCCGCAACAGGATTTCCACCATTGCATCTCCCGGCAGAGTACAGCTGCCTAAGCTTGCCGTTTCATCACACATCGAAAGTCGGGCGGAATCGAGATCGATAGCAGAGACAGGATACTTCACAGGAAAACCCTACCCGTTTTGATTTCTCCTTAAATAATACTTACAAAATGTGCTATAGAAAATTTCATTTTTCCCGTAAGGTAAAAGATGGAACCCATGGGATGGGACCCACAGATAATCCATCCAAAGCAAAAGTGCACATAATTGGTTTTAGAGCCGCTTTTTAATATTTAGCTGCAATTTGAAATGATTTTTTAATGCAAAAATACATTAAATAAAAATATTTAAGATAACACAAATAAATATGCCGATATAGTTTGTTGTAATTTGAAACTTTAAACTAGCATGGTGTTCACGGGCGCATATACGTAGGGCATTAGGGGTGGCACGCCACCCGAATGCTCCGTTGAGTTTAGTGAATGTACTGATGTGGTCTAGTTAGTGTACTTAGTATATTTGGGCTTGGCTCACATTTTATTTATTTCAGCATTAGTGGAACGAGTCGGGTCATATAAATAGTGGCCCACATTTTATTTGGTATAAATGAAACATTACATTTTACAGAGATAAAATAAGAAATCTGCTCGTTTCTCTCTCTATGAAACTTCAAACCCTAGTTAGTTTCTTCTCAAATTCATATCGATTCCAACTTGTAACATGGTATCAGAGCTTGGATTATGGTAGAACTCGTGCTTGGCTATCATCCGATGTTACCCCTGTAACTTCTCGTCGGAGTTTTTGTTTGAGTTCTCTCATCAGAGTCTTCTTCCGATTTCTAGGGTTTCGTTGTTTGCTGCTTTAAAAATTTTCATCTTTTCGCCATTATCTTGTCTTATCCTTCTGATTCCTAGAAGGGGTCGGGACAGTAAGGACATATCAGCTGGATTCTCATCGGGGTCTAGGGTTTTAGCTTCCGCTTGGTATTTGTTTCATTTTTGTCTTAAAGTTGTGTCTTTCCGGTTGCAAAAGAATTGGTAACATTGTTTCATCTCTATTCATTTTTTATTTTCAGATTTTGTGATCTGACTTGCATGTCTAGCTAGTTGATATTGTTTGAGTAAAATCACGATTGGTACTGTTACTCCTGTTGCAAAAAAAAGTATTTCTATGTCCTCCTCTGTTCTAATTAACTCCTTTGCTCGCCACACTGCCTTTCATCCTGATGAATTTACTCGTCTCTGTCACCCTCTCTATGTGCATCCCTCAAATATCTTAGGAGCTTCTCTAGTCTCTATTCCTATCGACGGTACTTGTTATGGTAGTTGGCGAAGGAATATTCTGGTTGCCTTGTCTATGTGCGATAAACTAGACTTTATAAATGGCATCACTGAGAGACCTCCTGTTGGTTCTCCTCTTGCCAGACAATGGAAACGTTGTAATGACTTGGTGGTATCCTGGCTAACTAATTCCCTCACTAAGAAAATCTCTCATAGTGTTGAATACTCAGAACTTGCCAAAAGATATCTGGAATGAGCTAGAAGAGAGGTATTGCAAAGCTGATGGTACTAGGATTTTTTAATTAAAGAAATAGCTAGCACACATTTCCCAGGGATCCTTAAATATTACCTCACACTTTAACAAAATCAAATAACTATGGGATGAAATAGCCTCTATCTCCGTCAATCATCTGATTATTTATACCTGTGGGGAAAATAAAAAAGCTATAAAGGAGCAAAAGGTGTATCAATTCCCGATGGGACTCAATGAAACCTATCTTCAAGTCAGGAGCAACATCATTATGCTAAAGCCTCTTCCTTCCATGAACACTGTATACAGCATATTGCTAAGTGATGAAAAGCAGAGACAAGTTTCTTATGCCTCTCATTTTTCTTCAAGTTCTGCCTCACTTAATGTTGGTGTCTCCAAGAAGAACTTCCATTCAAAAGTCAGTTTTGATTCTCCAAACCTTCTATTATCTGCAAGTACTGTAAAAAGTCAAGCCATACTATTGAAAAGTGCTACAAATTGCATGGTTTTCCTCCAAACTTCAAATTCTCCAAAAGTACTAGTCCAAGAAAAATGGTTGCCAATGCTAAAGAGGACAGATCTGGGTTTTTTTGGTACTCCTGGGGGTTCTGATGACCAGCCCCAATCTCAATCTTAACATCTGTCTGCACTGTCTGATTTGACTAAAAAGGAGTATTCCCAATTAATGATGCTGCTACAGCAGTCTCACCTGTCTAGTTCAAGCTCCACTCTAAATCTCTTGGCTTCAGCCAACTTTGTTGGTGAGTTAATACCTGAAAATAGTTTGTTCAGAACCTGCTTGCTTACTAAAATAGAGAACATAGTATGGATTATAGATTTTGGAGCTACTGATCAAATGACCTCTGAAAAATCTCTTCTTTTCAATATTCAAAATCTTCTTATTCCTTATCTTGTTTCACATCCCAATGGGTATAAAGTTAACGTCACTAATATTGGTTCTTTGACTTTTTTCCATGAATTAATACTCCACGATGTCCTATATGTTCCCTCATTCTATTATAATATAATTTTTGTTTACAAATTAGTTGCTAGACCTGGTCACATTGTTGTTTACCAACGATGGCTGCACTTTTCAGGGCCCTTCACTGAAGAAGTCAGTGGTAATTGGTAGACCGGAGAATAGACTTTACAAGCTCTTTTAACTTCCTGCAACATCCTTGTCTTGTGATTCTTCTACTTCCTGTATCATTCCTCCTTCCATTCCTTGTAATGTTTCTCCTGTTGAATGTTCCAGTGTTTTTAGTGTTGATACAAATATGTTTTCTGATACACATGTATCTATGTACTCAGTTGAGGCTGAGTATAGGTCCTTGAGTAAAGCTGTGCTGAGGTTAACTAGCTCTCTAGACTTTTATATGATTTTAGGCTCACTAATCTCTCTTCTATTCCTGTTCACTGTTAGCCAAACACAAACTGTTTTTCACCAAAAACACTTCTTAAAATAAGCTTGGCCGCACGAGCTATAATACTGTTCTTGATCTCATACAATTGTATCTTGTAAGCAATATTCTTTCTGGTCCGGCCCAATAGTCACTTTGGCAATCTGAATCTACTTAAGATATTTGAAAATCAAGAATCATTTATCACTTTATTTCTTCTAAATCCAGTCTTAAAACCAGGAATCATTTATTACTTTATTTCTTCTAAATTCAATCTTAACGCTCCAATTGGTAGAGTGTTAATTAAGTGAGATATTTAATAAAAGTAAGACTATTATTAAGAAGTGTGCAAAAATCAAATAATATGTGTAAGCACGTAATTTTTTACCCTCCCTAAAATTTTACACTATTTAGAGCTTAGATGTTTATTTAGGTCAACTATTGATATTTTAACTTTTATTTCATTTTTCCCCTTTATTTTATCTCAAAATTGAAAACTACAAAAAATATTTTCCTTAACTTTTTAGTTGGTATTTTGTTTAGCACTTTTATTTTTAATTATTTTTTTTTTTAATCTTACTTTGATAAAAATGAAAATCACAAAAAATATTCACCTTTAGAATTGATATAGTTTTAGAGGGGAGGCTAAGGGTGGCATGTGGGCAAGTTAGGACCGAGACTGACCCAGGACTGCAAGCCTATATGGGCGGTGGGCCTAAATGGTCCTAACCGGATAGGACCGGGACCGTGGGGAGGTGGGCTGGATAGTGGGCCGGTCCTATAGGGGAGGCCCGCGAGACCGGAACCGTTTGGGACCGGGACCGGCTAAGAAGTGGGCCGGTTCAAGCGGTCCTAAACGGGCCTATCCGGGCCCAACGGATAATTTTTTTTAAAAAAGAAATGGACCGTTTGATCTGCCAAAATAGCCGTTGGCTATTTGCAAAATAGCCATTTAACCCCCCAAACTTTATTTTAA